GGGGAGGCTTTGGAGGGAGGGAGCTGAGGGGAGGACACCGGGGAGAGGGGCAGGAGGGGACGGCGCTGGGGCGAGGATGTGGAGAGCAGCAGCGCAGAGGAGGCTGGAGGAAGCTGAGGCGAGGGATGATGAGGAGACGTGCTGAGGGAAGGGGCACTGAGAGGAAGGCGTTGGGGAGGGAGCTGAAGACAAGGATGATGTGGAGAGGTGCTGGGAGGAAGGCTTTGAAGAGGGGGTGATGGGGAGTGTTGAGGGGAGGACGCAGGGGAGAGGGCTGGTGCCCGTGCTGTGATGATAGTTGTGCTGGGCAGCGCCAGGCCGGCCTCCCCTGCTCCAGCGCGGAGGCAACCCGAGACCGAGCACCGGTGCCCATGGGGAGCGAAGGAGAGGAGCCCAGCTCTGCTGCCGCTAACCGGAGCACTGGGCATCAGGAGGCAGGCTCAGCCCCACGGGGACGTCTGCGCGCTTCTTCCTTTTGGACGTGCTCCTCCTGGGAGCAGGGGTGAATAAACCAGACTACGTGCGCGACTCCTGCAAAGTGGAATACAACAGCGGACGCAGTGGTTTGACGTTGCCTTGAGTTGAATCAATAGCGTTTGCCTTGCAAATAGCCACTCCTCAGGACCCCTAGTTGAAGATGGGTTAGCCTCAATGATGAAATATACTAAGAGAAACGTATAATAATATATAATAATACATAATATTGTATAACAAGAGAGAGAGGGAGACTTTATCCCAAAGCAATGTTTCTGTCATGCAGTAGTTTTGTAGTAGAGTAACAAGCATGATCTTTTCACACACAAAAAAATGCAGGATGCTATGTGTGCACATGAAGTGCAGGATCGTGTGCTGCCCTTCATGTAGTTGTCACACAGCTGTTCAGCTACAAAAGAACGTATGCAGGGAAAGCTCCAATTCTATGTTATGAGTGTTTTAAGCCAGAACAATCTTTGGAATTGAAAGCTCTTGTTTCCAACAGGTGGTATAAGACCTTTAATCAACTGAAGTTATTCAGTAGGTCTTAGTTTTCCAACCCATCCATTAGCGCTTTGTGCTTCAGGAGTAATTCGGCTGAAGAGTATTCCCAGTATTGCTGAATCACCCATTACACTTCTCGAAGCAGCTGACTGTTTAGATGTTTGCAAGCAGCCTCTCAGCCAAATACTGACTCACGATGATCTTACTTTCCTACCGAGATCGCTCACAACGCGGTCTTGCCGCCGACATTTACAGCCCACATAGTTGTGTTACCGCGGATGCTTGGTCCTAATCTCAGTGAGACAGCTATCTGAGAGGAAGCAGCTACTTTTTCATTACTGTGATATCGTTTTATGTATTAATAAGACTTTTAATGGGAGTTCCAACAGAGATTTGATTTTAATCGGACTGCCCCAGCAGTGGATAGTCTCCCAAGTAATGGCAAATGGTGGCATCTGAAAGTAAATGGATCTAACACACTTCCTGCTTCATAAATTTTATGTGCCCTAAGTGGGCATTACACATGCTAGCAGTAACTGCCAGACATACTTGAGTCTCCAAATGAAAGCTTGAGCAATACAGTTGATGTCTCACATTGTAACTATGTGAAGCAGCTTCCTAGACAGCACTAAACAATGTGCACTCTGGAACAGAACCTCTGGGAGAGTCTTTTTATTTTGCTTTATATTAACTTAAAAAATGGAAAGACAGAATCCTGTTATTCCACACGCACCTCACATCACTTAGATTTAGTTCTAGCTGTACTTGCAGAGATTACATCCTTTAATGCATTTTTTTCTAACAGTTTTACAACTCACAAAAAGTTACTGCCAAGAAAACAATGAAAGGATTATCTTTATTTTTCAGTATTATTATCACCAGTGGAGAGGATTTAGGCTGTAAATATAAACTAGATTCTTAAACCACTAGGTCAAACCACATTCATTTTCACTGAACTCTGTTTTGTAGAAATACTCAGTATCAACTTTCCAATTTCTACCCCTCCTAGTGGAACACAGAAAATTACTGCAGAAAAGTAATAATGCAAACACATCTATTTTTTTCTACTATATTCATATTTAAATTGCTGGTGTCATTCTTATCAATTTATCATATCACTCGGACAACAATGAAACTTGATAAAACAAGCAGGATTATAACTTGGGCATTTAAGTTTTTTTTTTTTTTTGTATTATGTAAAGTAAAAGAGAAATAATAGCAGCAACAGAATTTTTTCATTAATTTCTTAGATTCAGGACATTGCTTTTCAAAAGCAATATTTGGTCACAATTTTATCAATGAAGAAGGAAAAAGAGTATCTGCCCTCAGAAACATAGAAAATGCCCAGAATTAAACTAATCCTTGGCATAAAACCATCTCTTCCAGTGGTGTAATCAGATGTGAACAAGGCTGTCAGTGGAGATAAGTGGGCAGCAATCAATGTGGCGCAGGAAGAGCATGACAGCAATGTGTAAATGAATTGTAATCTGTGGAAATCGTGGTGGGAAACACTTTACAACTTGTTCTTTTTTAACATCAGTGCTGGGATGCCTTGTATAAATCCTGTTAGGAGAGTCTGCACTGTTTGCACTGTTTTAGCTCTTCCGTTTTTGTTATCCTGACACACTCCGTGCAAGTGTTCTTCCCTGCAACACAGTCTGTAACATCTGTTGCATTTGTGCTGCTTCCCATGGCTGTCCCCTACTTCAAAAATCAAAGCAGGAAACAAGGGGACAGAATGGGCAGGGGATGCACAAAGAAACTGCCCATATTCTTTGGGAATAGGAGGGAAGATGAGAAACAAAGCGAATACCCAAGGTAGAACTTGCCTGAGAACAGACTATATGTTCCTGTTTAGGTGTGTATGATTCTGGTCCAGTCTTTGAGTTGCAAGGATGTCACAAAAGATTGTGATTCTAGAACTAAATGATCTGAAATACCTGAATATTTCTGTCCAATTTGCTGCGTTTCTGTAGGAAGCCATTTGCTGGGTGCTCTGTATAATTTTCTAATCTTGATATGACAGACAAGTGAGTTAACATGAGCTGCTTTTTCATCTTGTTCAAAAGCCAAACACAGATATGACTATCTTTACAAAAATCAAGTTTTTAAAAATTATTTTAAAGAATTTTTCTCTTAGATTTGGAAAGAGATGTGAGGAAGGAAAAGAATGAAATAAAGAAATATTACTACTTCTCTCTGTAATTAACTCAGAAAATATTTAGGCTTCGTTTTTAATTGGCCTCAAGGCATCCTACAAACATACATATATAAGAATTTAGAACTGCTTAGAGTTCCATGTTTTGGACATGCATTAATTATTTTCAAGCTATTATGCCTATTATTTTGTATATGTAAAACTGGACACCAGTATTCTAAAACTTTGTCTTTCTCATCAGGTATTTTATATCTCTGAGGAGAAATAAAATTAATTAGCTGTGTTATATCCATTTGACATCATCACTCTAAGCTTGCAAGACGCCTGGAAGGAAGGTTACCTCTGAAGCTGCCACCCAGGGTATTTGAGTGAGTTTTCCTCATGACCAGATACTTACTTCAAGCAAATGAGCAAGGATACATCTTTACTGTCATGAGCGCTTGTAAATGTAATTTTCTTGCCTTCATTGTTCAAAGGTATCTCCCAAAACGGTTTTGAACTCGCACCATACAATGTCCACATTGCTCCGTGTTAATTGTGCATATCTTTCAAGCAGGAAACAGTAGCATTTATCTTATATGGCCATTCAAACCAGGAAAGCTCTGAATTTATTATTCACAGTTCACTGCAAATTTATAGTTGATATTCAATAAAAGGTACATTTGAAGGTTTGGAAAGGTGTATCCAAACAATTCATAAATGGGGAAATAATTAATTAGCCTACCATTTTACTTCTTTTCACACTTAACGATCACTCTGAAATAGAGCCCCAAATCCCAATACCCAGATAGTCAGAGAGCAAGAACTTGAATTCCCACATCTGAGCCTGCCAATTTAGTTTTAAATTGGATTTAAGCCCCAAAAGGAATAATTTTCCAGATTCCTAATTGTGAATAATTGAGCCCCCATCAGCACAGATATTTCCTGCCTAATACCACAGAAATTTTGTAGTCCGTTCACCTTTCTGCAAGGATGGCTTGCACAATTTCCCAGCCGTCCCTTTGAACCGCATTTGAATTCTTTAACTGTGGCCTGTACTTGAGAATGGCCCAGTCCCCTTCCTCCACATACTACAACAGACAGGCCAGGTCTGAAAATTTTCTGTCCATCTAACTTCTAAGATGTTGAGAGTTAAAGATTTTGAAGTGGCACTTAAAAATTTGGGTAATTTAGTCTCCGTAGAGGTGAGAAGCGGTGGGTGGTGATGGACCTGGCTTCCCAGGGAAAGGAGGACACTCGTTCTCAGGACAGCAGCACCCTTGCTCATGTCTAAAGGCATTTTACCCTCGGGAAGAAATGTTCTCAAGTATTTTCTCATGAACTCAAGTAGTTTGAAGGGCTCGGGAGAAGGAGTATAAAAATGGGGGTGTCAAAGAAGGCTTGGCCATATTACTTGGCAACTTTGAGAGCTGCTGGTTGTTCTGAGTGGCCTTTCCCTTTTCACATAGCACGTCAAGGGCAGTCTTAGTGCCTGCAGAAGCTGCTGTCAGTGCAGACTGGGGTATTGGTGCAACCTCAAACCACCCAAAGCAATAGGAGGGCTGCCTGGTGGCTGATTTATTCTCAGATCCTCTAGGCTCAGCAGAGCTGCTCCTCATAAAAACTGTTTAC